TTTCTGTGGTCAAACAATTTTTCCAATATAAATCCAATTGAGAATATCTGTAGTTTATTTAAAATTCTTGTAAACAATTGTACGCTACTACATTAATTAATTAAAAAAAAAATTGAATCTTTCGCAAAAAATATTCATGCATACGAAGCATGCTGAAAAGAATCAAAGTAAAATGAAGAAACACAAATTATTAATATACATATATACGCGCGCGCACGCGCGTGTGTATTTTAATGAAAATTAAGAATTTTATTGAAAACACGAAAAATGTTGAAAATTGTGAGTCTTAATTTTTTGATCAGCTGTATGTTTTGTATTGATCATAAAAAATGTTTAATTTTTATGTGATACATTTGATCAAAAATTGCAAAATTAGATTATTCTATGCAAAATCGATCTTTTCGACTTTAACATCAGGAATTTTCTTCAAACTCGGATACGTAGATCATATGAAATTACAGAAATTTCAAGTCTGTTTTAAACTCACTTACTAGACATTAGTACCAATAGTACTAGACATAGTACCAATTATGAGGTTTAAATCATTATTTTGCTGATTCTAAATTTACTCAACAAAAAATTTACTCAATAAAAAGTTTCGAATTATGCAAATTATGCAGATTTTCATTAGATCGGCCTGGATTTATGATTTAATCTTTTTTGAATAAAATGTTTTTTTTTATATAATTTTATTTTAAAGAAATTTGCAGAAAAAGAATTTATTTAGAAAAATAATAATTGTATTTGGATTAGTTGGATTTAACAAATAATTTAAATTAAAAATCCATAAATATAGATTTTCTGAATGTAAATGAAAATTGCAAAATACAAAATTTTTTATTTTTTAAACAAATTTAAAAAATTAGAATTGCTCGCAAATTTTATTATTAATTAATTTGTCACATTTGAACATACAAAATATTTGAACCAAAATATCGATAATATTCCAAAATAAGATAATATTTTAATTAAATAATCTATAAATCGTTGTTATAAATTTAGTTACGTGATAAACATGGCAATGATCGAAGCATCTATTTTTTTTACCTCGACTCAAATTCAAGATTCGATATTTCGTGAATTTGTATTAAAAATCAATGAACGAATTCATTTAAATGATAAATAGAAAGAAAAAGATAGATATAAAACGAAATATGAAACAATTTTATACTGTAACACTACTTTTTCAGAGAGATTCACGGTTCCATTTCGTTACTGAGACTGATTACATTGAATAAAATATAGCACGAAAAATAACATATTAGAAAATTTATCGAGACGAAGGGATAAGAAGAGCTTTGTCCAAAAATTTAGGTCATCGTGTTAAATTCTATTTCGTTTTGATGAAACTCAGAATAATATTTTCTTTTTGGATTTGCAAATCTCATTTGGACGTTTAACAATGATACTTCTATTAAATATTGAATAATATTGGAGAATTTAATGCACTTTAAACAGATTGTATTTGTTTTTTAAACATTCTGTAATGACCGTACCGGCTTATTTTTAACATCTCGTTCAGATAAAGAGACATAATGATGAAGCAACATACACATAAAAATTCATTAAAATATTAAACGAATATCTCAATGTTAGCTAATCTCGAAAAAAACAGAAATTTCTGCATGAAAGTTAGTATCTTTTCTTTCTATCTTTGGAACAATTTTTTATATTTTGGAATTTTGAAATTATTTTTAATTCCCTAAAAAGAACTTCAATTAAAAATCTATAGAATATAAAAATAGAGATATGTCTCATAAATCGCAACAACAATCTCATTCAGAAACATGGTTATTGTTAGATGTGGACACATGACATTGTCTGCAGACAGTGTGCATATATTGTCCGTGAACAGTTGGATGATGACACTAGATATGCATGTAGACTGTTTATAATCAATGTTTCTTACTCTAGACGAAGTAAAATTTATTCTATGATATCTATTTTATATTAAAGATGTAATATTTTTTATATTATCAGCCCCTATCATAATTGAACTAAAAAGAGTTATCGGTAGATAATTCTTTCAAAAACAAATTAGATATATTATAATGGTAATTCGTATTGATATTATGTGTTTAACATCTCTACATTACAAATAACATAATAATATGTAATATAATAATAACATAATAATAACATAATAATAATTTCATGTAATTTGTAAAAATCATAAAATTTATTATTAGTAAATTATTATGGATCCTGTGAAGCAAATTTTATAGAACAAATATTAGAAATTAATTCATAACGATCTATTGTATTTAAGTTGTATTATTAATTTATTTTAAATCATCGATTTAATTATTTTCATAAATTTTCTGTAAAATATGTATATATTTATGATATAAGTGTTTAGGAAGAAAGCATGTTCTACGACATATTTACATGCACAAACTAAGCAGATATCATCAAATATCAACACAGTATATAAAGAGAATAAAGAAACAATGGTCCCTATGCGTTTTTAAACAAAAAATAATCTGAAAATAAAAAATGCAGGCAATTCTCATCGATTCTTAAAAATTTCATAGAGAATTGTATAGAATATGAAAATTCATGTGTACATTACAATTATCTTGCAATTTAAATGTGCTATTTAAGACTACAGTTCATCGAAAGAATCAAATAAATAAATTCTTAAGATTTTAAAGACATGTTTCGTTGTTCAAATGATTTATGGATTTGTCTCATAAACATTTTGAAATAATTTTTAATCCTCTTGAAAAAATGGAACGCTCCAAAACGAAATATACTAATTTAAGCATATTTATATTAAATACTTAAAAACGTTATTCGCAACAAATAAACATCTATAGATATTATTTGTAAAAAGTTAAATTCAGATTAATTTAATTTTGACGAATAAATAACTTTAATTGTATAATTTTACAATGTAACTTTTCTCAATTTATTCAAATAATCAATATTTTTTATTTCTATATTTTTATCACATATTCCTAAACATATGAATTAACCGTATCATTGTACTGTATGCTAATAGTCTATTCATATTAGGATAAGTAAATCATTTACCGAATCAATTGCTGTCTTTTGTAATATCACACATATATTTTATATATGAACACGTATATTTTATATATGTTAAATCATCAATTCATTTATTTTTGATATTCGGTTCTATCGGCGATCGAAACGACCACCAAATTATTATGTGAATAAATTGTAAAATAAAACTATGCAGATATCCCAACAGCATATTTATATTAATGATCTTTATTCTTTTATACATATGAGAAAAAATACATATGAGAAAAAATAAACATTCAAATCGTGCAATATACAAAAAAAAATAGATAGAATTATTAATTATGAATTATTTCGTGTTACAAATAATTTACAAGTAAATCCAAAAAAGTTAAATGATTTTTAGTGGAAAGTGATTTTTATGGAATCATGTGAATACTATTTTAGATAAAATGATCGAATCTGCTATAAAATGTATCCACCATATCCGCGATCTAAAGAGGATAGTTCCATTTCAAAGTCGAATCCTCAAATTCGTGTCGATTAGCAAATAATGTATATAAATGAAAAATTCTGTAATTCCAATATATAAAAAAAAAGTAATTTTAAGAAAAAAAATTCACACATCTTACAATTTTTCAATTAGATAAAATTAAATTAATATGCAGAAGGAAAAAAGAAAAAAAAAAAATTAAAGTTAGCAAGAATCTAACTTTCTCATGAAATCGAATGATTTCATAATTATTTCAAAACTGTCTCCATTTAAAAAAATAAGTTAGCATTATGAAAATAATCATGCCTAGTCTTTGCATCTTCGCTGACAAAAATAATAGAAATTTACGAATCTTGATGAGTTGTCTTCGATATTCTTGATCAAGAAAGCATAGAAAACGAAGTGTATAATTATAGTGAAGAATTTTATGTTTCTACGCGCGGTTTCTACGTCGATATCTCTTTAATTATATCACGTTGCAGTTTAACGTGAAAGGATTAATGAACTCGTTACGGCCGCTTCTTCTTCCGAATAGAAAATCAATTTCAAAGTTGTTCTATTAACGTATGCCGATAGGGTGTTACCACCGAAGAAAGAAAAAATTTTTTCATTTTTTCACGCGATCGCAAGATAAAGAATAAAAGTAGAAAGAATGTATAAAAAATTAATTTAGCAATCGACACATTTCATTAGTTTAACATGTTCGAACGCAAAATAAAATTCCAAACGTGAAACAAAAGTAAAATAAAAAAAAACGTGTTTTTCTATTTTCAAAATTTATCAAATCTAATTATTCTAATAAAATTAGAGCGCGAGAGTTAATAACATCTATGAATATCCAATACGAAAGACGAATTAAAAGAGATATCACAACATAACGAACACAAAAAAATAATCAGTTTCGTGAAATATGGAAAAAATAAAAATTTCAAAAAGTAAAGAAGCGTTGATTGTATTATCGAAGAATTTTTCCTCTATGCGTTCCATCGCGAAGCGTTTGGTAAATGCGTGACCAATACTTTTCGAAAGATTTAAACTCGTTTATAACGAACACGCAACTTATTTGAAGACCAATTGTCACGAAAAACGTTAGATGGATAAGGTTAGAAATGAAAAATTTGCTTCGTATAACATTGCAGACTTGACGAGATAACGCACGTGGTCACACATCATATGTATATTTACACAATTATAAACATTAAAAAAATAAATAATATTAAATATGTATGATATAAACAGAAACAATTTCTTATCATGTAATCCCAGTGGTCACCTACAATCGTTTTACTAAATATTGGACATGAGATACACGAATAATAATCTAACGCTTCTTGGATATCGACGCAATAAAGTATCGATGTTAAATCGATAGGTCGAAATCGAAACTGTTCAATGTTTTGTCTTGTAAAAAGCTATCACGAATGACTCGCGACAATACAATTTTTTTAAGGATATATTAATGATATGGCACACGTGTCCACCGATTGTGCTTGGCAAATAAAAACAAATTTGCACTAACCTTGAACGTATCCCAGTAGAAAAAGGGTGCAGAGAATCCAGTTTCGTATCATCGTATTCATGATCCGCTGGCATTTGACACTTTACTCACAGTAGAGTGCACTTCTTAGTCACTAACTGATCTTCATTCGTATCACGACCACATTCACACACTGTGTCGTTGGCACACGGTAATCCACGACTACGTTCACCACGTCGTTTCTAGAAAATGGGAGATCGATCGTGATCTCGAATATATCGAGAGGAAGAATCGCAACGTGCGTTAAAACTGGTACGACGCCAGATGGCACACTGTTACCGACCTTCCTCGACGATCAACGAAAGCAAACTGAACCACCGTTCGCTATCCAAGTTCGTATCCACCGGATTCCCTCTCTTCGTCCCGCGCCCGCTTCTAGCGCCACCATACCTGCACTCCATATACCCGAGCCCTCCCCACCATCACCGCGAATCCTGCCCGACACTCTCACCCTCTCTTGGTCGTCTCTCACCCGAAACCCCACTTGACGCTTCCGACAACCCGTTTGCATCGTCTTCCTCGCTCATTTTTCCCTTCAACCCTCTTTTTAACCAACCTTATCGAATCCCGCCGATGTCATAGTCCCTTTTCCTTGCCCTCCCCTTATTCTTAGGCGTCAATTTATCGTGTTTTTAAATTATCGCGCCATACGAATCATCTCTCTTTCTTTCTCTCTTTCTCTTTATTTCTAAATGGAGCTCATGCCAATTATCTTCGAACCGCAAAAGGGTCATTGCCTCGAACTAGATTATACACGAGAAACGATTGTTTGTATCGCTAATTTGGCCGATAAGAACCGTTTGGATTGTGCATCGCGCAATTTGATAGTGATTCTGCTGTAATTCTTCCGTTTTACGAAATTAGAAGGAATGATACTTTACGATGTGATTATTAAGAGAATCGATAATTTTTTGACTTGCACGATTTTGTGATTATCTTTGCAATCATCTACGATAATTTTATAAGAGCTTCTATTTATTCATACTACGGTAGAAAAATGTTTTTAATTACACGATCTTTTCTATGATTTTTATTTTTCCTGTAATTTTTATAACAGACAGACATCGTTATTTATTCTCTTTTCTTTCTTCGAAAAGCCATTTTTAATTATCGATTTTCTTGTCAATATTTAATCGATAATCGCTATTAATGTCGATAGAAAACCTTCATTAAATACCTTATAAACTCATTATATTCTTTTTTTAAATACCTACTATTTACCAAAGTTTGCTCAAGACTTATTTACTTAATCTTTTCTTTTTTTAACGTAATATCGCGCTATTTTATAGAGAAAATTGTAAATATTCTTAACTAAAATCTCGATTTCTAAAAATAGCTTGCTGTTGGTAAATTCATATTTGCACGATATTTTGTATTTTACGATTTGAAAATTCTATTTATTTTTCCTTTCTTATATGAAAGAATTTATTATCCGAATTTTACGAAAATTTATACTTGATCCATACCTTCAGCTTTTAGGATGCAATCGATATGTGGAAAGCAGTTATTCCAATTTGTCAACGTTTCTAAATATCATAAATTTCCGATTATTGATGCTGAAATGCGTTCGATGCTTCAATGTTTAATTTATTTCCGATGTTATCACTAAAGTAAACTAGAAAGGATATTATTCGAATAATATACGATAAATTTCATCTAAAATTAGAAATAGAACGAGAAATAGATGAAAATTTAGATTCAATAAATTTTATTTATTTTTCATTCTGATTTATTCATTACGATTACTTAAAATATAATTGTACATGATTAAACAGATAAATTTTTAAAACACAGTTTTATTTTGCATTTCAATTATTGTAAAAATATTAAACAATAATTATGTATTTAAAAAAATAATTTTATATTAAATAAGAGAATGTGTTAATAGATTTTCTTTATTAAATGATAATCAATTAAGATTTGTATAAAATGAAATATGATAAAAATAATAGTTCTATTTTAATATATAATATATAAATTTCAATCAATCAACATTTTTGTATACCAATTTTTATGTTTGATTCAATTTCTAGAATCGATTTTCTAAATTTGTTCCACGAATATATTAAAATCCTTTAGATTAATGCAATGAGTGCACGTAGAAACGTTTTAAAATATTCCCAATTTTTATTGGACAAATTCATTGAAAATCTATTATTTATAAAATATAAAGCGCTTGCTAAAATTGAATATCCTATCCAAAAATATTTTTATCGATTTTTAAAACGCAAATTTCTTATTTTGGCTTATAGAATCTTCCACTTAAATTTTTGAACATCTAACCGAAAATACTATAGATTTATACTGGACGAAACACGCAAAAAAAATATAGACAAATAAAAACGATGTATGTTTATACACAACAGACTCTCTATTATTTCGTTGAAGCACTATTGGATCACTGTTAAAAAAATCTTGAATATCGCATCGATTTTAGCCAATCCTTTCGACCACGCGAAGCCGGTTAGGAAAATTCCAGTATTAAACCACTCGCGTGCATCCATTAACGATTCGTTATATCTTTTTTCTCCTTTTTTTACGAATTTGGTATTTTCATTATATATCTGGATCGATTCGATAGTTACGTTTCCTTCTATTTTTCCTCCGCCTTTTATTCGCAGAGTTTGACAATCTCGAAATAATCGTGGCATTTCGTAGACAATGTCGAGCGTTTTTATCCTATTCTAGAAAAATGGCGGTTCCCTGGAATGGGATCGAGGACGATTCCGTTTAAATTTAAAGATCCCCTCGATGACAAGCTTTCAAGAGCATCTCGCCCCGGAACGAAAAGCGGAATACTTAAAAATAAAGAATTTTTGAGAACCCGATTGTCGATGCAAGAACGGTATTGACGAATTTGTCATTCTCGTTCAATGCTTCGGGTATTTTCTACGCGAATCCTGACGCTGACAGCTTTTTACTGCTTCTCGCGGATTCGATCACGAATCGTTCTTCTTCTTTATTTTTTCCCTTTTCGATCCCGCTTCTTTCATGCCTCGTATGAATTCTCTTAACTTGAAAACGCGTTTAATAGACACGTATCATCCTTGGATATTTATAAGGAGAGGCAACAGAACGTTCAATCGTTTAAACAAATTTTGTTCTGCAAAGAGAAGAATTTTCAGTTTTAATTTTCAGTTAAGAATAAATTTTAAGGAAATAAATTTGATCGTGTGTCGAGTAATTGAATTCTTGGATGAAATTTGTTTTAAAAATAATTGTTTCAAATAACATAAATCACGATCCATTTGATGTATTTTAATTCGTATTTCTTATCTGTGATCAATTATATTAATTCAAAGGACAAATATTTTTGGAAATATATATAAATACTTCAATTTTTTAATTGAAAATTTGTTTCTGGAATAACATTTAAAATTAAATGTTGAACAATAAATTTTACAATTTTAATTACGTTATTGAGAATAAGTCAATAGTAATAATATAAACATTTGATGTTGAATGTTGAGAATATATATATTTTCATCAAAATTAAACAACAAGTAACGACGGCAAATAATAAATAATTCATCTCGTAAAACGTCAAATGAATCATTTAATTGCAAATACCATTAATTTACTTTTCATATGAATTGTTTCACGAAGTATTTGTAATTTCATAAATACTTTCCAAATAATTTTTTAAAATAATTTTAAAATAATATTACTTAAAATTCCTTTCAATATCTAATATGTGATATTCTAATAATGAATATTTGTTTTCCCTATGTCGTAAAATATTAAATACGAATTTTTTATAAAATTTCTGATAATCGATAGGAAATCTGATTTTTTTAAATAATATTCTGCATAAAAATAATATTTTAAAATATAATATCTATAAATTAAAAATAGCAGTGAAATATACATTAAGACATTGAATATTATATTTATGAAAAAGATATAAATTAAATCGCAGAAAATATTCTTTTTGATAAAAGAAAGGTATTCAAAATAAATTCTTTTTTATGGCATTTCATACTTTTGTCTTTTTTTTTACTGAAAACAAATTTGTAGGAATCATATTTATTTTAAATGTTATTTATAATTTATTTATATTAATTTTAAAGTTAGAAAATATTAGAAATTATTATATAGGAAATTTTCAAATGAAATTATTCCTCGATTAAATATGAGATATGAATGAATTATCGATAACACATAATATATATATATATATATATATATATATACAATTTCGATTTTCACAAAAACAAGAATTTGAGCGGTAAAATTATTTTATTTAGAATCATCCACATTTGTAATATCATATGCATAATAAATTTAGTTCATAAACGAAATATTATATAAATATCTATTTTTTTTTGTTTTTTTTTTACAACTATTCTTAATTTTTTCCAGTGTTTTAGAAATTGATGTTGAGTAATGTAACAAAAAATTAGGAATTTCTATTTTAATTTATTTTCTATTATCATTGAAATTCCAAGATAAAAATTGACAAATTTTAACAAAATTTTATATTTGGCGAAAAGAAATATAAATATTTTTATTCCATCCATTCGATACATTTTTTTACGTAGAATCTTCCACTAGAGATCCATCCGATGTATTGTTAACGTTCAAAGTCTCGAGACGAATCCAAAAGTCTTTCTTTCTAAAAATCTATTCACAAAGGCAAGAAGAAGCAAACGTATGCTCGAGATCGTGGAAGCGACAGGAGCGATATCGATCCACATTCGATTGACGTTTAAGCTTCGATGCGGCTGTGAGCATAACTCCCTTTAAAGTCTATTTATTTCCAATCTCTTCGCATTCATTCCCCTTTTATATCTCGTAGGAGCAATGATATGCGCTCGGCCGAATCGATCCACGGTAAAGGTTACAAATGGTCGAAGAGGGGGAGGGGGAAGACGATCGGTGTACGCACGATATTTCACCAACCGTGGCCGTTGATCTTTGTTAGCGTAGATCTTATCGCGGAGCCATCGGTCCACGGAAAGGAAAGCTCGGATACGATCGGCTTCTGTTCTCACCGAAACATGGGGATACGAAAGTCGATAAATAAGAGTATGCTTTTCATTTGCATTATATTAAAGCTTGAGCTTGAACGGGGATCCCATTTTCCACGCTGCCAAGTCAATTTCATGCTGGAATCCATTTTGTATCCCGTGTGTGTCGATTCTAATGACTGATCGCGTTCCCCTCGTTATTTGATTACAATTTATCCGGATCGAATGAATGTTTCATCAGTGGAATTCTGGTATGGTTTTCTTTCGACAACGTGCAAATTTCAAACAATGATGTTGAATTTATAATTTTTTGACAGAAAAAAAATTGTATCTATTTTGCGATTGGAGAATTTTTC